TGTATATAAATTCCAAATAGTAAATACCATTCACTCACTCACTTACCCATCGCTACTTCTCAAAAACTACAAGACGTATGAACTTGAAATTTTAAATAGTAGATGTGCAATGATAAAGGGTTTTCTAAAATTCACATTGTAAAGAAGGGCTCTAACAAGGATTAAAAGATTGACGGTGGAAATCCAATATTTTTTTATTTTTATAAATGGTTTTCATATGGTTACAAATTATAAAAATAATAAAAATTTGTCGGATTTGTATTTTTTTTGTAAGTGACATCAATTTATAAAAGTTAAATCCGTCGCCTAAACAATCTAGTATTTGGTATATATACATTATATTATTTTAAAAATATTATTACAATATACTGTACGCATAACAGGTGGTTTAGATAGACATAAATTCTTTGAGGTTTTCTACTTAAAAGTTTTTAACGCACCAAAAACCACTGAAAAAGTGATGGCACATTGTATCCAATCCGCCGTAGGTTAGATGAAGTAAAAATGACACACTTGGTATAAACTTTGAATTACAAATTGTGCACTTACGCACACACCTCCCCTATCTGATAATATACTGATCACGTAATCACAAAACCTCAAGCCTTATCTGTTATCACCTCAGCGAGTCCTATGAGTCCCCTATTTGACACGGCAAAACTGCAGTGGCGCATTGGGGGTTATTATCTATAGGCATATAATTATAATATATAATAATATAGTTTATAATAGTAAATTGTATACAGGCATTTTATAACCTGCTATCTATTATATAACCTCTGACCACTCACGTTGGTTGTACAGTTGTACGTCGTAAACTTAGTAACGAGCCTACGTTCTCGATGTAAATCTAAAAATAATATTTAATTTAAAAGTTTAAAACACCCATTCGTATTATAAAAACAATTATGAAAAAAACAATAAATACCATATTATGCAAGGAAAAAAATAAAGAGGCGTCGCGACATTAATTTGAAAATTATACTAGAATAATAGATTGTTTTATAACAGTAAACAATTATTTAAATGTAAATTGCGTGCAATGCAGTCCATGAATAATTATAGAATATAGGAACTAAAACAACAAAAAAGCAACATTCTTCTTATTTTGAGTTTTATGAATGAGTTGCATATTTTATGAATATAATATATAGATACTATATATTGTATATATTATTATGTTGCGTTCTTGAATCGTGAAAATAAATTCTCAATGGTACATTTCGTTGTAAACAAACCCACTCGTGATCGAATTCTATGAAATGCGCTGCCCTATGTAAATTTATATTAATAATTATTCATTTTTCAATAAAAAGAAACATTATTAAGATTTAATTTTAAATTTAAATTTCGTACAGTCACCTTAATATATTGTATAAACGAGTATTGGTACATACACCATAATATACTCATAAAGTATAAAAACGATTAAATATGTAGGTATATATGTTATGTAATATAATATTTCATACGACAAACTTATATTATGTTTATTGTTTTATCTGTAAGATCACCAAAGAAAAATGAAATAAACACCAGAAAGTAATGTACAGTATTACTGTATTAGATACTTAGAAGTCTGTCTGTAAAAAATAAAATTCAATTATGTAGTCCTTTTAGTATATTTATATAGTATTGTACAAAATATAATACAATATTAGGTAAATTTTAATTGAATTTGGGAGAGCTTAATATTAAAGTAAAAAAACAACATTTTCCTTTCCATTTTACAGAATTAGGACTGTATAATATGTTATACTACATCATATGTCAAAAAAATATTATGGTTATGTATTTTAGTGCAAATAAATGTTTCTTCTTATTATTATCAAATATCAGTACGATATCTTTATAGGGATAACCTAACAATAGGAATATCCGATACCAACTATCTGGCACTGAACTGTGTAACTCGCTAATATTTTGCTGTTGTGGCATTATTTTATGCATGTGACAAGTAATATAAGTAAGTGGATGTATTATGATTTAAATCATTAAAGTGGACTTCATCACCATTTCAAAATGTTGAGTTATATATTGATATAATATGATAAATAATTAATAAACTTTAAGATTAACAATAATTTTACTAAAAAAATATATAACAGAAAAACTGTGTACATTTGGTTGCCTGACCGAGATCCTTGGTTTGTCCATTGGAGGTGGGTTCTTAAGATACCTATTTATAATGATGGTAGGTTATGTTAGTGATGCAAGTATGCAACTATAATAATCTGTTATACCGACCTATAGAATGCCCTATTTTTCTTTTATCAATACCCACCCGCCCATATTTAACGTGTTGCCTCAGCAACACTTGGACCCTATGTTACACGCCACTGGCCCTTCGTAATAACTAATAATTGTAGTAGCAAAAATGCTGGAAAATTGCCGTGCACAGATTTAACGTCAACGGTATTTTTACAAACATGAAATGGATGTTTTTATGTGAATGTTGTGCATAGGCACACACTTCAAAAACCCTAGAAGTCTTCACAACGCACTACGTCGAATAGAAAATGTATCAATTATTAATAAAAAAAAAATTGTACTTGGTATATTATAAATTATAACAATATGTAGGTACTGTGTAAAAGTAGACATGTACTACTAACTTATACTTTTGTAATTTTGTACATAACAAAAAATATACATCTAATATTAAAAATTGTCTGATGTGTACTCGACCAATAAGAATAATAAGATGTTATCTATTGATTGTTCAAAGTCCAAATATTATAATTTTTATGTTTGTGAGTAAGTTACAAATTCGATTATAATGTGGCCAAGAGGAAAATTTCAGTCGAGTGAATTAAGCCTCATAATATTGTCTTATTGACTATTCAAGCCTTCAGTCTTCACCATTATTTTGGAACTTTATTATTACTAATAATATTTTATGTAAATCAGAGCAGAAATGGAACCCTAAAATTGACTCAAATGAATTTTTTTTTCATCGGGTTATGTCCATTATTGGAGTTAACTTACTCTTCATATTTGAAAAATAGAAATTACTTAAATAATAAAAACTGCATTGGATTATTTATAAATGCATCTATTTAATTTTTATTGGTAACACTTTCAAAGTTTTAAACACAAAATTGGATTTTAAGACAGAGAAATAAACAGTTTTACTAAACATATGTTGAGAAGTACTTGAAGTTTAAAGTTTTTACGTTTAATCTTATAGGTTAATTTCACAATAAGCCAAGCCGTACATATCGTATATTATAAATTATATTCTGCATGTATGTATATATTATAATACCATGTATTACTGATATAATCTTATGATGGAAAAAACACAATTTTTAGACGTTGGAACAATTACCAATATTGAGAATAACATCTGTTGAACAACCTAAAAATATCCACAAAATATGGAATATACTTATTATTATTTATTAACTACAGCTAACAGTTAATAATATATAGATTTATAATCCATCAATATTCAAATCAATGACATTATAAGTAGCGTGAAGGATAACTGAATCTTAATAATTTCCTCTCTAAAAAAATGTCCAACATAACCATTATAGACTAAGAAGGTTATATAGTTTATCCGATTAAGGTATACCTTCTTATAATAATAATATAATACATTTATGCCGTATGATATAGGTAATAGTGTGACTGCGTGAATGTAACATAGTAAACATTTTATTAATACTATTTTTATTTTATTTTTATTCAGTAAGTTAGAAAATATTAATAACCTAGAATTTGATGTATCATTGACTAATGACCATTATAAATACTTGAATTTATAATCAATGACAACAGATAAATTAAAAATATTCTCATACATAATTTTGTACATCTACATGCAAATTCATAAAGTATAATAACAGTTTTAACGGACAATCGTTATGTTTCACTATTTTTTACTTTAAGTATACTGTATAGGTATCCTTTACTGTGATTTAAATTTGATCATTTTGAATTTGATTAAAACATTACCTAAGCAATATAAAATTAATTAGGTAAACCTACTGAATGTATTTAATTTTAGACTCATAAATTATATGGTTTACGCTATGAAAACCGGGAAGTTGCCGTGCTTGCAAATATTGTGTTTTTCTTACATATTTTATTCATCATACTACATCAGTGGTTCTTAACCTTTTTCGAATGACGGAACACTTAACATTTTACAAGATTTTCGAGGAACACAACTGTAAAATAAAATAGTAGTACATACATTTTTAATTTTTTAATATATTAAACAATTAATGTATAGCATAAAATTGTTTGCATGCCATACATGTTAGTGTTAGTCACTAAAAAATAATAAAATAATAAAAAGAGTTAAAAAAAATTTAAAAATTTGAAATTGAATACTTTGTATGAGATATTTGTGCCTGATGATTTTTACAGATATTTTCAATATCTGGCCGTATGTACTATATTGCTACTCTCATTTCCTCTTCAATATTTGTCAGCCTTTCTCGTTTCTTTGTTTTGATATTCGTCAGTGTTGAAAATCCAAGCTCACATAAGTATGATGTTGAAAATTGTAATAATATTGAAATTGCTTTTTCAGAAATTTTTTTAAATTCGGTTTGAACTGAAATCCAAAATTCTTCTACTGTTATTTCGGAAAATTTTATTTTTAGAGTTCGATCTGTTGTTAGCGTTATGAATTCTTCCTCTTCTTCTAACGTAAATTCATAACTTGACGTGTTGATGGTAGAAAATGGATTTCGTATCCAATCATACTTTTCAATATTCAATTCAGGAAAGTATTTCGTGATTTTTTCTTCTAATAATGCTAAATGTTCTGTTATAATAGGAATTATTTCATTATTATTTTTAATTGAAGGAAACATGTCTACCGTATTTTTTTGAATTATACGCGTTCTCCAAAAAGATATTTTTTTTTTAAATGTTAATAGTTTATCCGTGGATGTAAGAATATTTTCGTTTTTACCTTGCATACCAGCATTTACGCTATTTAAATAATTAAAAATTTCAGCTAAATATGCCATTTTAACACTTCAAATATCGTTTGTAAGAAAAGATATAAAAACAGTGTTACCTTCGTTTTGAAAAAACATTAACAATTCATTCTTAAGTTCCAGAATTCGATTTAGAACTTTACCTCGCGATAACCATCTTACTTCACAATGTAAAAGTAAACATACGTGCTGAGCTTCCATTGATTCACACAGTTTTTTAAATAGGCGTGATTGTAATGGACGCGATTTTATGTAGTTAACCATGCTTACAATTTTATCCAATACAGACTTTAATGTAATAGGTAATGTTTTCGAAATAAGTGATTCTCGGTGTAAAAAACAATGTGTAGATATGATATTAGGATTTTTTTTCTTCGCTAATGTTGTAAATCCTTTAATAGAACCAACCATTGAAGGAGCTCCATCGGTGCAGATTCCTACACATTGGTCCCATGTTATGTTAAATTTATCTAAATATGACGAAATTGAATCAAAAACATTCTGTCCTGTTGTACGTTCAGTAAGTTGTTTACAGCATAAAAATTGATTCACTATTTTATTTTCATCAATGAAACGAACAAATCCTAGTACGTGAGCTATACCACTGATATCAGTAGACTCGTCAATTTGCAAAGCGAAATATATTTTATTAGTAGTATGCTTGTTAGTGACAGTTTTCTCAATATCATCTGACATGTGTATAATTCTGTTTTTTATTGTATCGTCTGAATGCGGAATTTTCATAATTTCTTTTTTTGCATCATCGCCAAACATAATTTGAACTATTTCTGAACATGCCGGTAAAATCAAACTCTCTGCTATGGTGTGTGGTTTTAACTGTTTTGCAATTATTTCGGCAACTTTATAAGATACATTATATTATTCGAAAGTTAACGATAACGTTTTTGTGTACAAAAATAAACCAACAAAACCTAAAATGATTCTATTTTGAAAGAATTTTTTTTTCACTGATTTTAAAATTTTTGCGGAACACTTAAACGAAGTCCACGGAACACCTGTGTTCCGCGGAACACCGGTTAAGAACCACTGTACTACATCAACATAAAACACGATTTAGGTAAATAGTATTTGAGTTATTATCTTATTATTTATTATAGTGTATAAGTATTGCATACACAGTAAGTCCATTAATCATAAATGTATAATATGTATAATGTATAGGTTAGTGTGACTGAATATGAGTAAATTACATAGGTACCTAATAAGTGGTTAAGTATTCACTTTTTGAACATCGATAATTCTCAATCAAACTGGTTGTAACATATAATTCATTTTTTATTCTATAGTTCAATCTACATAATAGTATAAAAAAATATGTTTGTTTCATTTCTACTATAATAGTAGCTGTGGGTTTAATGTTTTTTAGTAAAATATTATTGTTAAACAATTTCAGTGCGTTTTCCGGTAAAAATTGAGTTAAAGATATAATAACTGAATAGAGTTTTGTACTTCCTTTCACATAAAGTCGCATACATTACTATTATATATTTATGTATTAGCCAAAATAAAAATGAGCTCATTCGTTTTCTAAATCACATCATTACGTATGGTACTCTACGTAACTGGCCAAAATAAGAAAAAAATTACTTTTCACGACTCGTAATATCGATCTATAATAATATGTATTATGCGTTTTGTGCGCAACCAATTTGTTTTATCGTTAGATTATAAACGGTTACATATCAGATGTCGATTTAAAAATTGAATAGTAAAATATTATATTATAAGAGTTGAACCGTTGAGGCTTTTTAACAGAATTTTAAGTCGGTGATGTCATTTCATATTAATCCATGGGAGGTAAATAATGGCAGTATTAATAATAGCTGCAGATGGCAACATCTTTATTTATAATTAATGTTTAATAATTATTATTGAGACTTTGTGGCTTGTGCTGTGTAAAACGTTATCGCAATTCATAAAGAAGCTGGTCGTTCGTCCTTACAGAATGGCCTTTTTTCCTAAAATCAGCGTCCTAACACAATTCGCTGTTTTTGTGTTATTTCACTTCTTGTAAGTACTTGTACCTACTACTAATCTATACATATACAATCCAAATACCACTTAGTCACTGTCCACTGATGACTGATCACTGTAACTCAAAAACTACGCAACATACGAACTTGAAATTTTAAGTTCTTCTCATATTTTCACCGTGCAATAAGAAAGGATTTTCAAAAATGTTGTGTTTTAGTGGAATAATTGACAATTATAATTATTCATCGCCAATACGTATTGTGCTTCACGGCACGGGCTCATAGCTACCTGCAACTTATCCTTTTTGTCCGTCGTATAGATAAGAATTGTTCCGAGAAGTTATAGGAATAATATATATTGTAAATATGAAAAAAACAAAACTACACACGGGCGAAGCCGGGTAATACAGCTAGTACAGTAATATCATTTGGTCTATAATGGTAGCGAGTTACGTCTTGTCATACTTGAATTCGACAAATGAGACGAAAAACAATATAGTTTGTATTTCGTCGCATATACTCATATACTCGCACCGGAGTATCGGAACTTGGAAGTATTGTGACGGAAAAGCATGACCAATAGAAATCTCCTGATTTGACGGATTTACGTAGGACACAGTGTTATGGCGGTTTTTAAATTGAAGTAATTTGTATTAATCTATCAAAATTGACAACTCCGAAATTTGTTCCAAGTGACCAAGTACCTATAATTAAATCTAATAAACAACATATATTTTGTATTTTTATAAACACATTTTTACTATCCTTGTATAAATATTATATTATATTTTATTTTAAAAACTGAAAAACTACTCGTTTAAATTTTTTATTAAGTAGGTACATACGATTTTCCTAGAAAACTGACCGCTTAATAATGTATATTGTATATTTGTATACCTCGTAAGTGATAGGGGATCTCATTTTAAAAACAAAAGTTTTTATTACCTCGGGACACTCCAGAACCCAGAACCTAGTATAAAAAATTAAAAACCTTAAGAATTTGAAAATATGTTCTTCAAATATATTTAAATATTCCAAAGAACAGAATTTTAATAAATTCACTATTAAATGAAAAATGTGGCTGAGCATGTTTAATCACTTACTCTGTTTAAATAGCAATTTAGAGTGTTTTAATTATACAGTATTCTATGTAGTATGTATCATGGTTTTACAAGAATTTGTGATATTAAAACCAAACAACAATTTAGTTATGTGTTTTGAAAAAGTAATTTAATTCAAGTTATGTTGAGGTCGCAATTGGTACCATCGATATTATAGCAGTTAGAGAATGTAACGAAAAACGATATAGCAGGATTCCATTGAAACGGAATGCATATTTAAGATATTAACACGACGTGAATCGTTAAAATCTTCTATACTGTTGTACCTAAATCGTTAGAGGCCAAAATCACTACTCTAAATTCGAATAGTGTGGTACTACTGGTAGTGTTACATTCTATAGTTGATATTAATATACTTAATCACGGAAATCTTATAGGCATACCGATACCTTATTACCTTACCTATAACATTATGTCTAAATAACGAGTTCCAACCTAATTACAATTTATTTACAACCTATATATAAGAATGTTTTTATTTTAACTGCATCGCAAGCAATAACAATGATTTCGCCGGAATGACAATATTATCTCGCCATCAACCGACCGCGAAAAACCTCTAAAAAATTTAGTATTAGTATCATAATGTAAATTGAGTTGTTGGAACCCAACGATATTGTTGGGAGATAAGCTCAGGAAGATGGTGAAACATTTAAAATCAGTGACAAGGAGCAATGGTCAGGATTTCACTATTGCTGTCAATTTTATGAACCTTCGAGAAAAAAATCTCGTCCATCATAAATAAATAATAATGAATACAAGTGATATTCGGAACTATTTGCGCTGCGCACTATCATAAATTCATAACATATGCAAAAATGTGTTTCATCCATTGAACCTTTCAAAATCCTACTTTATTTAATATCCATGTATTCATTCTTTGTCCTTTAGTTTTTTGTTATTTATATAGATTGGTTTTGTTTAAAATTTCTGTCATCTATTTTGTTTTTCTCCTGTTGATCTTTTTAGTTATTACACATAAAACCAATCTATTATTAACTATTTTGTCAATTTTTGTCATATCCATTGTTACATTTTTGGATGTTTGTAATTGCATAAAATGTAATGATATTATATAAGTAGCAACTGATAACTGTGCATTTGAGCATAATATTTTATGCTACTTAAGTCCTATAATAATATTAATAATAAATAATCATATTATTATAATATTATACCTTGCTGTAATGGGAACCTATAATCAGTGATCAAATTTGTGTGTGGGGGGGGGAGGCACATTTGGACGAAGTCCACTTTCATTTTTTCATAGATTTAAGCATTCCCTTTCATTTAATCAAGGCATTAAGGAAGGAATGCTAGAAACGCGTCTCCCTGGGAGTCGATACTTGAATGGTGAATTAGGATTTTGTTTTCATTTATTTTTAGCATAGTAATGATTATTTTTTCCCAGGAAACGGTTATCGTCGACAACATTATTACAGTCGATGGGTACCAATAATATTATAGCTACATAGTTACTGTACATAGTTACCAACGTGTGAAACACAATATTTTATTTTTACAATTTAATATAAGAAAAATGTATCAATACCATTTACTTGGAAAATGGGCTATCGTCGATAACGAAAGAAAATCAATGACTTTCCGAAGTGTACCTATAAGGTTAGGTACTTAGGTGATGATATTATTTTGTTTTCATAGTTGTATTATTCGACGTCGTCATGGAACCACTTTCCCGTGGATTCATGGGCAACGCATAATAATGTGACATAAATACGAGGAACTAAGCAACAAAATAAGTGTCTATACTAGCTGTCTAAATATTATAATATTTTCGTGTTAATTATTTAATTTACTACAATATGTGTAGTGCCTAAAGGATGCTGGGGACAAAATCCCCGCGGGTTACAGGTAGGTACAAATGTATCCGCTATGAAACGGTGTTTTCTGAACTAAAATCAGCGCCCGTCCTCAATATTTTTGTTCCAATTGAGCACTGTCTATATAATTTACCTAAATGCTTTTAACCGTCAATATCATTGTTTTTACTTCTATTCTCAGCCACACGCTGCGTTTTATTATATAATTTCAATAAACGTACAACATTATACTCGTTTATTGATTAATGTTGTTATTAATTTTTCCATTCCCCACAGAGTTCGGTTGCAAGTGTGATGCTGATGCACGCCGCACGGTGCGTCAACGCAACGGTTACGACTGCGCGTAGGCCGCGAACGGACCGGTTTGCCTACGAACACCGCTAGATGTCTCCGCCTCGTCGACTCGCCGCTTTTTGCCTCGGACCCACGACCACTGCGACCGGTCACCGGTACAAAGTTTGTCGGAGTGTCAGTCACGCGTTCCCTCCAAAAACCGTCGCACGCTTCTATCACGCCGATTTTCCGAATTTTATTTTTCCGCCATTCACAAGACTGTACGTGTTATTTTATTATTACTGTCATAACGTTTTCGTTGTCGTAAAAATAGAATCACGGGGTTAACTTAATGCCGTAAACGGTCCAGTGCCTGGTTGCGTTATTCTCAACCGCAGCAGCAGCAGTAGCAGCTCTGCAGGCCTCGATAGCGTACTGCACGTCCTGAAGATAGAAACAACTAAAAAAACAAGGTGAGAAATCCAAAAATTATATTTTAAAATATCAGTAATGGCGAATCGTACGTGCATGTATTTATAATATTA